CCGCCACCGCGCCGACCGGCTCGGCGCTCCCGCAGCCCGCGCCGCGCGCCGACCCGCGGCCGACGCCGTCCCCGCCCGAGCCGCCGGCTGACAGGCGTCCCGGTCCCGCCCGGCCCCGCCGCCAACTCACCAGCAAGTGCGGCGCCCGCGGGCTCCGGGCGGGCGCGCAGGGCGAGCGGATGCAGGTCCGGCGGCGGCGGCGGACGCGCCGAGGCGTCTCGGGCCTCCCCCGCCCCACTCGCGCCTTCCGTTCCGCGAGGGCCGCCGGCCGCCTCACGCGTGGCCGAGCCCCCCGCTCAACATGGCTCCCGGGCCGCGGAGCCGCGCGGACGGCCCAGTAGTCCCGGCCGCGGAGCCGGGCCGGAGCGAGGCGGCGGGACGCGGGCTGCCGGACCGCGGGGCGCTCGGGGAGACCGCGGCCGCCGCTCTCGTTCGTCTGCGTGCGCCGCGCTTTCTCTCGCTCGGAGGCTGCGGCTTGACGCCTCCGCCTGTTCCCCGGAGCGAGCGAGAGGGTGGGGAGGGGGGGACGGAAAAAAGAAAAAAAAAAACAACAGACTTTTATTGAAACGATCCAACCAGCGGCGGCGGCGAAGAGCGACCGGCTGCGGGAGCTTCCCCACCCCCGCTTGCACGGCTCGCCTGGGGCAGCGCGACCCCTGCCGGCGGCGGCGGGGAGGGGCGGGACCCTGCTCGGGGGCGGGGCCTAGGGCCGGGGCGGGGCCTGAGAGGGGCGGGGCGTTCCCGGGGAACTCGCGCCGCGGGCCTGACTGCAGACACAGTGGTCGAGCGGGAGACCCTCGCTGTGGACCGAAAGCTGCCCTGTACCTGTACCTGTCTACACGGACTCGTGGGAAACGGTCACCGTAAATCAGTCCCTCAGCTGTGCCCTCACAGCGATAAAACTCTGCTTGAAGTATTCCGGTCCCTACTCTACGCCCTGCCCTGGCTTTTGAGAGTTGGTGTCAGACGACCCACACAGAAAAGTCCCGGTCGATTGCTGCAACTTTTCTTCTGTGGCTGGCTGCGTGGTGCTAGTGCCGTAATCATCCACGCACGGTGCTTGGATTTAAGCCGCGCTGTTTTTAAAGCACTCTGCTGGGTGGTCAGAAACGCTGGAGTCCAGCTCGGATGGCAGATTATCAATGGCTACAATAAAACGGAGCCTTATGAGAGGATCGATACGATGTTATAAGAAGAACCAGAAAGGGCTACTGTTGCAGTGAGCTGGGTTCGGTGTCTTGGAAGAGGCGGGCCAAAAAGGTTGGCCTAGTTTCTGCAAATCTTTTTCCTTTCTTCTTTTGCAGTTCAGGAACAGCTAAGCGAGTGTGTTGACTAAAATGGCCCATTTCTTACCACAAGTAGGGATAGAAGCATAAAGTAAAAACAAACTTAGATCCCCAGAGGGAAATAATGAGAGAACTGAAAGAAGACAATGGGGCCCGGATGTGGGCGTCCCTAAACAAGAAAAAGTTAACCATACAAAAGGCCTATAGGGAGAGGGTTGGTTTTTTGTTTTGTTTTTCCGTTCTCAACACTGGGAAGTGCACAATACATTTTAAATCCAATTTCAAATCTCATTATTTCCTAAGGACTTCTGAATAATATCCTTTTTGATTGCTGGGCAAATAGTTTTTCCTTGAAAATGCATCCTGCTACCTTCTTTCTCTTACTTTGTTGGGCAAAGTTGGATATGTTTTCTACAACTACTAAGGTTCATACATGTCAGTCAGATGGGTCTCCAAAATTACCAAAGCCATAGGTAACAATCATTACTCTCTACAAATACTTTGACACTTCCTTACTTTGTAAGAATGAACGTAACTAAAATTCCTCCCTTTAAATATATATGTGTGTGTGTATGTTTGTGTGTGTGCAGATTCAGCCCAGCCCACCTGTGGTGGCACAGGCCTTTAATCCCACTGCTCAGGAGACAGTGGCAGGTGGATCTTTGTGAGCTCCAGGCTAACCTGGTCTACAGAGTGAGTTCCAGGACAGCCTGGGCTACTTACAGAAACCCTCTCTCAAAAAAAACCCAAAACAACAGAAAAAAAAAAAAAAAAGGTATGCACTTTTAAACAGCAGTTAATGATTTTTAACATGTGTCCAAGCAATTTTATAATATGAAAAGAGCTAGCATCATTTTCAGAGTTATTTTGTAAATTAGAGAAAAAAATATTTTTATACATGACCTGCTTTTACACCAAACATTTTCACATGCTTGCCTTATTTTAACATGCAATTTGTGCTTTTTTGTTCTCTTAGTAAATATTCGAAACAGTAAAAAGGAAGTCTACATAATTGCACCCTGAGTTGCAGCATCTGTAATTCTTCCGTCACATCATTGGACTGGAATGAGCCCATTAGAAACAAAAGGTTATTCTGCTAAAGAATATCTTCCCTACCATAACTCTATATTAGGAATTTGATCCTTAGAGTTTAGATGTATTTGGTTGGTCTGTTCTTTCCTTTAAAAAAATTTTTTTTAACTGTACCATTTGGACCAGGTACATTGCTAGCCCTTAAAGATTAACATGGGCCAGTTACCATACTTGACCTTAAAAATGCATAGGTAGAGATACTTTTGCCCTTGTACTCTGTTGGTGAAAAAAAGCAATACACACACAGATTTCTTAGGAAACCAATAGGTTAATGCATAAACAGGAGAGACAAAGAAAATCAAACAGCAATGGTAATAAGTCAAGGAAGGAGGTGACAGGGTACTTCTGGTGTCTAAGATGAAGAAAAAACATAAAGATGAGCAGAGGCTAACTCAGTAAGGCACCAGCTCTTTCCTTGTGTCACTCAGCAAGTGCTTACTGACCTTTTCACTTAGTATGCAATTTTTAGGGATTATCTCTTTCCTTTACCTTGTAAAATAATTTTTATTTGTTTGTTTTGGGGTTTTCTTTTTGTTTTGTTTTCTTTGTTTTGGTGTTTTCTTTGTTTGTTTGTTTTCTTCTTGTTTTTGTTTTTCGAAACACAGCTTCTCTGTCTAGGCCTGGCTGCCCTGGAACTCACTCTGTAGATCAGCCTGGCCTTGGAACTCACAGAGATCCACCTGCCCCTGTCTCCCAAGTCCTGAGATTAAGGCATGTGCCACCATGCCCGGCTTTGTAAAATAATTTTTGTTTGTTTGTTGGAAAGAGTTTCTTTACATAGCCTTTGGCTCTCTTGGAACTCACTCTGTAGACCAGACTGGCCTTAAACTCAGAGATCCACCTGCCTCTGTCTCCTGAGTGCTGGGATCAAAGTACGCACCACCACACCTGGCTGTAAAACAATTTTTAACTTTGAATGTTTTCCAAAATGTAGTTAAATATGTTATGTGATTAAAACAAACACACAAAAAAGAAAGAAAGAAAACAAAACAAAACAAAACAAAAAAACCTAGCACTGCTTGGTGAAGGAGAGGGATTTGGGAAGAATTCCAAGTTCAAATTTTCTTGGGAAATGCCACGTTCCTTCTCTTGTAGAAAGTCACTGCAGATTTATGTACTGAAAGCTGGGAGGGGCTCTGAGACATAGGCCAAGCTCTCCTAACCGCAAAGAGCAGCATCCTTGCGGCAGACATGGAAACTCTGGGGAGAGAGTCAAAAGTCACTGAGCAAAGCGGGCAGAAATGAAACTGTTCTTTAGTTATTGGCAGAATGCTTTGGAAACGCTCGGCTCCTGGCTTCTAGTGTGGCTCCCCGAAAGGCTATATTGAGACTAAGGAGGCATTAAATAAGTTGTTCTTCCTCCTTCCTTTTTTCTTCCCTTATGTACACCAATACTCAGTTTAGAATAAAACAGAGGTGGGCTCTTAATCAGATAAAATATATTGAAAGTTTAGGGTATGGTAGAGCATGCCAGGAAAGTGGAAACAGAAAGACTGGAAGCTCAGGCTCATACTTCATTTTGAACTTGAGGTCACCATGGGCTACAGGAGAACCTGCCTGAAGTAAACACTACAAACAGAAGGATGATGCCAGTTTTAACAAGCTCTTCCCTACTTTTGGGGTGTTTATGTATTTTGTGTGTGTGTGTGTGTATGTGTGCTTGGCCCTGTGGAGGCCAGAGGCCAACAAAAAGGCTCCTCCTCTAACATTCTCCACATTTTTGTTTGTTTTTAGGTCTTGTTGTTGATGATTGGTTGGGGATTTTTGTTGTTTTTGTTTGTTTGATTTGGTTTGGTTTGGTTTTTTACACAGACAGGGGTTCTCTATGTAGCCTTGGCTGTCCTGGACTCATTTTGTAGCCCAGGCTGGCCTCAGACTCACAGAGATCGACCTGCCTCTGCCTCCCTGAGTGCTGGGATTACAGCTATGTGTCACCAAACCCAGCTCACATTTTTATTTGTTTGTTTGTTTTTTAAGATACAGTTTCTCTGCATAGGCCCTGGCTGTCTTGGAACTCGCTTTGTAGAAGAGGCTGGCCTTAAACTCAGAGATCTGCCTGCCTCTGCCTCCCAAGTGCTGGAATTAAATGTCACACCACTATCACCCAGCTCATCAACCTTAGTTTTTTTAGACAGAGGCCCCGTGATTAGCTAGACTGGCTGGTCAGCCTCTGAGAGCCTTAGGTCTCTGACCCTAAGTGCCAGAATTACAGGCTTCAGGATCTGGGGATCTGAACTCCCGGTCCTCAAGCTTTTTGGTGCAAACACTTTAGCCCCGAACCATCTCTCCAGCCCCAAGTTGTCTCTTTTACTAAATATGGTTGAAAAGTAAGAGCTGGGAAGCATCCATTTTCCCTGTTGGGAACATGAAGGATAATGTTGTGATTGGCAATCTTCCCAGGAGAAAATAATCAATGAACATTAATATTGTTTTTTTCTTTTCTTTTCTTTCTTTCTTTCTTTTTTTTTTTTAAATAATGAGATGAAGCAGGGAGCAGTTGTTTGCTTTCATGGTAGTTGATCAAACCATTTGAAATCTTCCAATCTTTGACCATTTGTCAAAAGGTCATGTTTTCAGTAAACTAACTTTCATGCCCAAGCTAACAGTGATCCAGGATCATTTAAAATCAACCAGCTGTGAAGAGGAAGCCAGAGAAAACATTTGGTATTTAGAGAGATTAGAGGAAAAGAAACTCAAGGAGTAGGTGGAAAAGAGAAAGAGAATCAAACCTTATAAAGATATTTTTGGGAATAGCGCCACAAACGTTAAATTTCACGTCTGGGAAAAGGCTAGAAATCACACAAAGCTGAGCAGGTCATGGGTCTAGCCTGGGGCACTACTGCAGCAATTATGCTTTGCAGTTGATTGCATCGGATCAGGCTTTCAGCTTTGCCACCAGGACCAGTCGATAGGTTACCTAACCAAGAGCTTTCCCACATGTAAACCTGAACTCTAATAACATACCCACCAGGTTACAAGGACTAAATAAGATAACGTCATACACTGCGTGAATTGCTCCATCACAAGAACACTGTTACCAAAAGAAGATTTGGGCCAAGGTTTGTCTAAGCCTCAGAGATAACTTAACCAACAGCTCTCAGAATGTCACCTGGTTTCTCTCCTTTCCATTCAGCCTTTGGCAGCCTTGGCTCATTCCCCACTAGGTCAACCAACCAATGGCTGCAATCTGGGTAGCTCTTTACATCTGGCTTCATCTATCAGAGGAAAGGAAAGCAGTACCCAGGAGGACGGACGGTGGCTCAAATTAGCCAGCTTGACTCAGTGGCTGTCGCTGTGGGCCCCTAGAGTCAAGAAAGAATCCAAATTACCTGAATGATGGACATGTAGATAGCAGGAAGAGAGTTTCTCCTCTAAATAAGAAAAGAGAAGGCATTCTGGTAAGTAGGCAAGTGGATACAGCAGCCTCACCCAATTAAAATTTAAACAGCTAGGGATGACCAGCCTGTCCCATCAGCTAGTCCCATGAGGTCAGCCTAGTTCTCAATACATTTGCTCTGGTTCTCATCTGCCCCCCTCCAAACCCGTGTGTGTGCATGTATGTGTGTGTGTGTTGTTTGTTTACTATTTATAGCACTAGGCATGAAACATTGGGCCTTGTATATGCGAGACAGGCACTTTACCATTGAACTACGTTTTTAGGCTCACTTCTCAACTTTTATTTTGAGATGGGGTCTTCCTAAGTTGCCCAGGCTGTCTTTGAACTTGTTACCCTCCCACCTCAACCTCCAAAGCAGTTGAGATCGCAAGCCTGTGCTATCAAACTCTTTCTTTCCAGGTTCACAGGGACCAGGGTCACATGCTCATTATTTCTCCAGCAGTCTGGGTGAGCGTCTCCCAGGGGCTCACAGACCAGAGGTTTGATTGTCAGCCTTTAGTGCTTTGAGGAGACGGTGGAAGCTTCCAGAAGAAGTTTTGAGAACTTCTCCCTCAAAAAAAAAGGAAAAAAAAAGTTTTCTTCTTTCTCCCTTCCCTTCCTAGCCACCATGATGTGGACAGGCCTCTTTGATTTTGTGCTCCCGCCATCGCCATCATATTCCATGTTTCCATGGCCTAAAGCAACAGGGCAAAATACCCAAAGATTAACATGTTTAATACCAAGAGGCAAAATACCCATGGATTAACAGATGTAATATCAAGAGGCAAAAGTAAACCTTTCTTCCTCGTAAGCTGATAACCACAGGAGTTTTCACCACAGTAGTGTAACAGTGACTAACACAATTCCCAACCTAAAGCGAGGAAGTTCCATTCAAGAAATCCCAAGAGTGACTGATAACCAGATTGAGTGGTCATGTGCCATGTTTGAATCAGAAGAGTTCCATCCTAATAGGTAGAATGGAGAAGATGCAGAAGAAGGATAGAAAAAAAAAAGTGCTATTAACCAAAGAGGGAAAAAAGTATAGGGTAGTCAAAGACTACAAGTATCTGCTATCCCCGAGTTTACACCAAGAATATTGTTAAAAACTGAAACTTGGAGAAAGTAATATTGATAAAGAGAGTAGGGTGAAATGCAAAAATAGACAAATGAACGGATCAGATAAAACAACAATAAGAACAAGAATGGGCTTTATCAATACATGCAGCAACTATTGGGTGAAGAAAGGCAAACTATAAGATACAAAGTAGATATATAGATGACAGGTAGGTAGATAGGTCCATAGATGATAGGGGGGTAGATAGATGATAGATAGATAGATAGATAGATAGATAGATAGATAGATAAAATACTGTGTGATTATATTTTATATGTATATGTATATTCATGTGTATGCACGCACATGTGTGAAAGGCTACATGTGCACATGGGTTTAGATACATGTAAAGGCCAAAGAACAATCTTGGGTGTCATTTCTTGGGCTCTGTCTACCACTTGTTTGTTTGTTTGTTTGTTTTGAGACAGGGCTTCTCACTGGCCTGGAAGTCATGAAGGAGGCTAAGCTAGCTGGCCAGCAAGACTCAAAGATCCACTGTCTCTGCTTCCCCAGTGCTGGATGGTAAGTATTCACCTTTTTGTTTGTTTGTTTGTTTGCCTGCTAGGGCTTGAACTCAGGTCCTGAAGGTTTCAAGTCGAGAACTATACTGACTGAGCTTTCTCTCCAGCTCCCACATCATATGATTATGTTTTGTTTTTTTATAAAAGTATATGAAATGCAAAATAGTAGTTTCCTCATCTAGAGAAAGGAAAGATTATAAAAGGGCATGAAGACATCCATAGACATTATAAAACGTCTTGTTCTTTAGCCTTTTAAAAAAATCATTGTGTGGATGTTTAATGGGAAAATTTATCATATGTGACACTTGAGATGTATGCAGTTTATGGGACATGATCATGCCTGAGCAGAACTGTGAAAAAAGAGAAAAGGATAATCAAAAACCACGATCGCCTGACCTGTGTGTACAAGCCTGGGTGTTCTGGCCGCGTTGAAAAGGAAAGCTTCCTTGGATGGTTTCTAAGCTTGGGGTCAAAGGAGAGGCTATTAACAGCTACACGCATGGCCTGCACTCTTGTGACAGATATCTCTCCATAGTGCAAATGAGTGCAGCAGCGGTCAATTGTGAGCCCGGCACGTGTGAAAACTACTTAACCCTATATAAAACATTGCCCTCGGCTAGAATTCAGCAACGGTTAGCCACTTCTCCTGAAAGCTCCTCAGTGTGGAAATCACCCAAACAGCTTGAAATAACATTCACTCCATGTGTTTATGCAATATAAATAGTTCCACTTCTCATAGTGTGACCTGAAGTATGTATGATCTGTGCAACTCATGGGGTATCCCCTGAGAGTCCAGAGGGAGTTGTCATTGGGTAGGCTACCCTGTTTCTTGGAGACACCCTGATACCCAATGCTATTAGGCCAATTACAATTAGAACTTTTTTTTTATTTTTAGAACTCATAAAATCACCTATCTTCCAGTTCTGGTTTGATTGGAAGGCATCAGGCATACTAAATAATTCACTATTACCTCTCATACACCTGGACTTACCAAGACATCTTATAAAGTCTCTTTTGTTGTTGTTGTTTGAAATACTGTTTAAAGATAATGGCTTTCTGGTGATTAAAAAGTAAAACAGTGTAGTCTATCTGAAAATACTTTGTGTGTGAATGATCCACGTTGTTGTAAGCAGCGCCATTGTTGCATTGTTATGGTCCCCGGGCGTCCCTCAATGCATCCTGCTTTCTTCCTTTTTGATTTTCTATTTACTTCCAGGCAGGATGTGGTAAATACACCAGGGTATTGTTTTTTGTTTGTTTGTTTGTTTGTTTGTTTTCATTTTCACAAATATTCACAAAGGTTTTAGCATGATGTGATAGAAATTTCTACAGGATTTCTACAAGCCTTGGTTTTAGGGCTTGGCTCCACTGTCTGTTGTGTGCCACTGAGGGAGGTTGCCATCTTCAGCTTTCATCTCTTACTACACAAAACGGGCATATAAGGCCTCTCAACAAGATGCTAAATATAAAGGTGCTTAACACAGTATTTGGCACTCAGCAAGCAATGAATAAACGTTAGTGTCCTCCCTTCCACTCCTGCACATCGCGACTATAAAAGTCATGGAAAAACACTTTGATGAAAATGCATCGAGGAAGGCAGAGACCTAAGTTTACAGTACTCCAGAGAAATAATCTGTCTTCTGCGGAGAAGTGCTATAATATTTAACAGAAAAGAAACGGAGAAGAATAAACATTTCCTTGGATGATTAGCAGTTCTATTCAGACAGAATACACAGATATTTATATTTTCGCGTATTATCCATCATAATGTTAGCATTAAATTTCAGGGTGTGAAGGATCTGTGATAACTAATATAAATAAAGGAAAAACATCCAGTTGTGATCTGTGCAGATTTTGTTGTCAGGAGACTGAATCATATTAACACCTTTTACCTGCTTTCTATACACTGTATTCTCAAGAAAAATAATACATCTTTATTTTTAGCAGAAATACTCACGCAATCTTTGGTTTAGGATCTGTTCTAGTTCCCCAATGTAGTTTTGTTTTGTTTTGATTTGGTTTTGGTTTTTTGAGACAGGGTTTCTCTGTGTAGCCTTGACTGTCCTGGACTTGCTTTGTAGACTAGGCTGGCCTCGAACTCATAGAGATCCGCCTGCCTCTGCCTCCAAGTGCTGAGATTAAAGGTGTGTGCCACAGCACTCTGCTACATTCAAGTCTTTCTTGAATGACTTTTTGTTCAACATACTGGGAATGGTAAGTGAAAAATGGGAAGAGTCTTAGACAGTATCAGTGCTCAAGGATTTAGAGTATATCAAGAAAGAAGGCCCAGCCATAGTTCAGAGAAAATCAAGACCTTAAGGTGAAAGTTTGTCTGCACTATTGGAACCAGGGAGGACAACTTCAAGCTGGCAGAGATGGTGCAAGAGAAAATCAAAGCCTCCCTCATTGTTGACTCAAAGAATATAGCATAGTGTAATGGAGAATGCATAAGTAGCGTAAGTGATCATCTCTGGCTTCACAACATGCAATACATGGACTTCGACCAAATATCCTAGCACTCACTAAACAGAACTTGAAAGGCAGGCTATTTATATTCTTTCTATCTCTTTGGATGCATTTGTTTCAGAAGCCAATTTTTTAAAATAGTTATTCAGTTGTTAAATATTTCAATTTTTTAAAAAAACAGCAAATGAATCATATGTGAAGTGAAAGGCAGTCCCTCTCTTCTGATAAACAGAAGATGAAAAATGAGGTGTAATCAACTGGGACTCTCCATGGCACCTCTAAATCCTTTGCCAAATTGTGCATGGGGTGTGTCTTTTTTTATGAGTCTTGGCTACTTAGCAGTACTTTGAAAACTGCAGTTTTAAAAGAGCTACTTGGCTATTGCCTACACTGTTTAAAAAATCACGTAATAACTATAGAGTTATATAGAATTTTGGTCAAGTGTTTATATTTAATAAGATTAATTTTTTATTATTGTTAAGCATTCTATTTCATAGAAGAGCTATCTCCATGAATTCCTAACAGTATATCTTAAAGCAATCTTCAAAAGTAAACTTAGTTTTGTTTATAAGGCTATTAATGTGACATCTCTATTCCAATTTCTGCAGGAGAGTTCCCAGCCTTCTTCCAAAAGCCTCGATCTCATCCGTTGACGGTCCAGGTTTCGCTCACCGGGGTAAGACTAGCTTTCCTTGTGCATCTGACTCGTGCCTTCTGCTGTTTTAAAACTGGGCATCTCAGCTCTTTCTGTAGGTCAAATACTTCTAATTCAGATTTAGGCAAGTCTGAAGGGCTCGCACAGGAGACATGGAGCCAACAAAATACAAAGACTCAAACTGTGCCATCATTTAGCCTGAGGGGGCGTGATCCGTTTTACTCAAAAAGGCAATGAATAGAGAAGGAGTTGGAGGAAGGTTGAAAGTCAACTTTGAAAGAACAGTAAAGGAGGAATGACAAACAAAAAAGAGAGACAGAGATTCTAATAAACGTTTTAATTTTTCTTTTACGTTATGACTAATTTTGATTAATTTTTTTTTCCTTTTGCCTCCTTTTTGGTAAAGGCGTTTAAAACGATGATACAAAAGTTTCTAAAAAGAAATTAAGTAAAACCACCCATAACGCCTCAAACTCCAGCACAGTAGCTTACTGTGTTCCAGTATTTCTTTCTAGCTGTATTTACTTATTTTTTGTTGTTGTTGTTGTTTTACTTTATTGTATTTTATGGGTGCAGTCTTATTTTTGTACCCCAAGGTGGCCTCAAACTCTCTATGTGAGGAAGCATGACCCTGAGCTTTGGATCCTCTTGCTTCTGCCTCAAGCCTGTTGGGATTACAGGTGTGTGTCACCATGCCCAACCCTCTCATGTAAACACATTTTAAGAGTATTCAAGTAGATTTATATCACCATCTTTACCGATCAAAAGCATTTATTCACTTTCTTTTTTATTTCTATTTATTTCTTTTTAGTTTTTTTAGAGACAGGCTTTCTTTGTTTAACAAGAACCCTGGCTGTCCTAGATTCTCTTTGTAGACCAGGCTGGCCTCAAACTCAGAAAGATACACCTGTTTCTGCTTCCCGGAGTGCTGGTATTACAGGCGTGTGCCACCAAGCCTGGCTCATTTATTCACTTTCTAAGAGTCTTGACGATCATCCTAAAAGTCTGTAACCCGTTTCAAGGGCCTCTTCCACATCTCTCTGAAGTTTCCCCTAAAGTATGCTGGGTGGTTGCTAGGGGACGGTTTATCACATGCTTGGGTTCCTGCCCAGTCGCACAGTTCATTTGATTCCTTTTCTCCGTTGCTAGATTCCAGGATGTTGACAAGCAAGTAATACTTGAGGAAATCAACTTATGAAAGGGGAAGGTTTGCGTTGGCGTACAGTGGTTCAGTTCACGAGAGATTGCTTCTGTTGCTTTAGAGCTTTGTTGGAGGCAGTACACCTCGCTGGGTGCCCGTTCAGGAGGAAACCATTTACCTCCTGGCCATGAAAGGAAGAAGAGACAGGGAGGAACCTCACCAAAGCTGTTGAGAGCATGGCCCCTGGGACCGCTATGCCTCAGCTACTAATAGCATGGGTTGTGGTGGGGGGAAGAGAGCTGGGGGTTCCTTTACCACATTGCACAGGCCTTTGAAACACATGGGAGATCTAAACTAAACTACAGCCTTGCATCTGCTCTGGCTGCTGCAGCCTCTACAGTCATTTCCGCTAGAAACCACGAACTTCCTGTGGGAGGGGATTTCTGTTTTCCTCTACATTCTCAAACCATCCACGTTGATTTTACCCACTAATCTAGCATTGCTTGAAGGAGTCCAGCTGCTCTTTTCAGTCTTCTTTTTTTTTTTTTGGTGAGGCAAGGTTTCTCTGTGTAGCCTTGGCTGACCTGGACTTGCTTTGTAGACCAGGCTCACACCGATCCACCTGCCTCTGCCTCCTGAGTGCAGGGATTAAAGAAGTATGCCCCACGTCTGGCTGGAGTCCATCCGTTCTTATACCAATAGCACACTTAGTTCAAACAACTCACTCTGTCTTCAAGATGGCAGACAGGAACTAGTCGTTAACAGTCAAAATCTCAATTCAACTGTTTGCTGTTTTATCAGTTCAAGAAAAATAAAAACTCACTCTGTCTTCAAGATGGCGGACAGGAACTAGTCGTTAACAGTCAAAAATCTCAATTCAACTGTTTGCTGTTTTATCAGTTCAAGAAAAATAAAAATCTAAAAACTTCAAATATTTCAAAATGAAAAGGCTAAGGATTTAGATGCTCCACCCCTCACCTTTAAGAAAGAGAGTCTGTTTCAGCATATGCTTACAAGAATTTATCAACTCTAGTATAAGGCATTATGCAGAGTTCAGACAATGACAAAAATGGCACAGTAGGAAAAGCCAGGGCTTTAGTCTTAGAGAATAGTGACATGCCCAGGTGAAGGCAACTGTTATTTATTTAAGATGCTTAAACCTGCTTATGGATTTGAAACTGGGACATCTGTCATCAAAGAAGAAAAACAAGCAGGATCAAGATGCCATAGGTGGCTGAAAGGTGGATGATACTCTAAGCAATTGGCAACCAGCATGGGTCCTAATAGGCAGGGAATCAAACTGAGGAGAATTTGATAGCTATACATTCGGAACAGAAGACGTTGGTATTCACAGAAATTTGATGATCAATTGGTTGATCAAATTTGACATTCATTTATTTTGATCTCATTGAAAATAGATTAGTTTCACATAGAAAAAAATTTAGGCTCCTTATTCTAACTTACACAAATGAAGCAATTGGAAAAGAATACAGATGTATAAATATGAAAGAAAAATCCAACTTCTTTTCTTAAGATGACTTTCAATATCAATACTACCGTTGTTTGACGTAAGAAGAAATTATGGTCTGTTCTTGGATGGTAATATAGTGGTCATTTGTTTTAGAACACAATTTTTAAAATGATACTCTATTAGTCTTTTTGGCCTGGAACTCCCTTTGTAGACCAAGATGGCCTTGAACATACAGAGTTCTGCTTTCCTCTACCTCCCAAGTTCTGGGATCAAAGGTAAATGCCACCAAGTCTGGAATCTACCAATTTTAATAACAGCAAAAAGGATAGGCTGGGTCCACACACAACAGAGTTCTCTTGAACTCTCATTTCACTAAGAAAATCCTTTCAGTGAGTGCAGTGCTTCTTTTCTTCTATCTTCAAGTCCGTAAACTCAGCCATCTTTGCCATGTCTGCAGCATCAGGAGAAAGCTATGATGCAGAGTCCAGTTTTGAGGCCTACCTCTTTAGCTTTCAGAGGCGTGCTACCTGTTTCCAATGTCTATTGGCTTCCGTCTCTTGAAAAGTGGACATATTTCATTGCTCTTCCGTGGAACCAGTCACTCTCCTGCAGTGTGAGAATAGGTTTTTGGTCCTCAGTATTTTCTTATCAATCTTTTGGTGGCAACTTTGCCAAAAGCACTCCTGGCTTTTTCCTTCCTTCATTTTTTTTCTCTCTCTCTGTCGCTGTTTCTCAGTCTTTGTCTCTGTCTCTGTCTCTCTCTCTCTGTTTCCCAAAATAGCAACTCAAGCTGAACCTTACTCATGTGACTTGACAAATCAAACTTACAAACCACCTTCTCCCTGAAGAATTCTTCAAGGTGTGAATGAATTCCCATGGAGAATTCTACATGTTGAAGGTTGTCTCTTTCAAGGCCAGTGAGTCCAAGTCTAGGGTCTAAAGAAATCGATGGCTGTGATTTCTGCCGATCTAGGCAGACTCAGTCCGGGACTGTTGGCAGGGACATCAGGCACCGTGTAAGGTGCTGTGTGAGCCGTGACTCAGAGGGGCTGAGCTGCTTTCTTCATCAAAGCAGAAAAACCAGGTGTGTTGCCAAATGCTGCACAAGTGCTATATGCGCCAAGTTCTGTTTGCAGCTGGGTTTTTTTATTGTGAAAATGTAACTCCTCCCCATTTCAAATAACTAGGGCATTCGGAGTGTCCAACACACACACACATAGGCACACACACAAGTACTTTAAAATAACTTATCTCTATGTAGTTCTGGACTTGAATTAACTTTGTATCCAAGTCTAGTATTGACCTTGTAATTTTCCTGCCTCAGCCTTTGAATTCCAACACTATAGCTGTGTATCATGAAACCCAAACAACAAAAAAAATTCGATTTGTTACTGTTTTTTTTTTCCTTAATGTTATCTTTGGCATAAAAATGGGCCACATATTAAAATGAAACAGAATATTGGAAATAATAAAGAAGTAGAAGTCAAAAAGATTATGTGCCATTTGGATGTGTGAAGATAGATAGATAGATAGATAGATAGATAGATAGATAGATAGATCCTTAAAATGGTTATATTAGCTATTAATATAACTAAGTGGACTGGCATTTACATAAATTACCCTAATTATTATTTTTTTGTTTGTTTTTTGAGACAGGGTTTCTCTGTGTAGCCTTGGTTGTTCTGGACTCCCTTTGTAGACCAGGCTGGTCTCAAACTCACAGAGATCTTCCTGCTTCCTCCTCCTGAGTGCTGGGATTGCCGACCTGAGCCAAGATACCTGCCTTCCATTTACTCTTCCTAACAGCCCTGTGACAGGGGTGATAAATTTAAGGCTCAGAAAGACTCAGCCTCTAGCTCAGTGCTATACAAATGGCAACTGTTCTGAAGCACAAGTCTTTGACTGCAGAGCTTGGGCTCTTAATTATCACAATACATGAAAGAATCAGAGATGTGGGTGAGAAGCTAAGAATAAGAAGAGAAAACATGAGTCTCAAAGGGCAAATATAGAATACTGGGAGTAGTAGAATTAATTGAAAGAGAAACGAATAGAAGTATTTTGGGGGAAGGTGCCACATTTCAAAAGAATCTTGTCCCCTTAACTCTAAATCTATATCCCTCCAAATCTTATGATGTGACTTTGGGCTCTGCCTTCAGGATGCTTAGCAGGAATGGTTGTCCCCATTTGCAGTCCAAGCCTTTAAAACTTTGCATTATAAATAGATGATTTTTTTTTTTTTTTTAATGTTCAACAGGCCCTTAGGAACTTGATAGGTTTGAGACATCTTTTTTTTTTTTTTTTCTAAGAGTCTATCACACCTCCTTTTCTGAATTCCTAGTTTCATTCATCTCCGAATCCTCCCAGCCCAGCATGATGCCTGGCAGTTTTGGGGTACCTGGTAAAGTACCT